GTATCTCGCTAATTTTGAATTTGATCTCTCAGACAATCGCTGCTGCAGCAGACTTGAAAAATTTGTCTATCATCATAATTTTTGACAGCCTTGCGAAATTACAAGTTGTTTTGGACTTTTAATTTCTGCTCATTTCAGCTGATTTGACAGCAGGGTTCCTCCTGGACAACATATCCTCATTCAGTTTACTCTTACAAGTGACATTCATTCCGCCGATCTTTGTCTGACTGTGTATCGACTGCATGCTCCGCAGTTTTTCGGGCAGCAAAATGTCACTATTTGCTTGCAGATGATCGAAAGATGCTAACCTTCAGTCTCTGAGCAACTTAGAAACTGGTTTGAGATCGATGAATGCCAGTGCATGATCACTCCTCAGCCGATCATGCAATGGATCTTCAGCATGCAGCTAAAATATATGATCTGTTGCTTTTGGAATAGATCACATATGTTTACGTTAGCCAAAAATAACTTTGCACTTTAATAAATTGTCACTTACCACAATGGGGTGCTGCGATGCGTCATAAAACCGGAATTTGACTAACGATGGTTCACCGTTGCAGTAGTATATTTCAGAAGTTGGTCTTTTCAACGATGGCTTTACATGATGATCAGCGGTATAATAGTAAAATCATATAGAAATACTTGAGACTATCGTTTTAGGTAGAGGCTTTTTCTCTCGGCAGTGTCATCGTTGATTTGAAAGGATATAAAATGTATGCATGTATTTTGCTAAAAAAAAGTATGAAAAAATAATTTGCCGTTGTGTTCTACCGTAGGGATATATTTTTCTCGTGGTTCTTCGCTTAATCATGAACTGTTTCGTAGTATCGATGTTGCTTTTGGAGCTTTTACTTTTGGAGCTCTTACTTTTATTTTTAGCTGTTGTGCTAGTTTTTCTATATCGCGGAGATTTTGTTGAAATGTAGACGTTTCTGTATTTTGTAGCGCGGCTTTTCATTCATCATGCTAACTGCGGGATTATATGCATGTACCAGTTTTTCTCGAGTTTCCACCTTGCTTTAAACGGTGCGTTTATTAGAAACTCATATGGTTCGTAAAACATAACTCGGACAAGATCAGATTTCACTGCTCGCAACTGACTCGGTAATTTTTGTGGTATTTAT